GCATAGTATCTTTCTGTGGCCCTAAAAGTGATGTCTGATCTTTAGAGATATTTCCTCGTTCTGAAATTCAAGATTGAGAGTACATATGTTTGTTTCCTCTCATCTTGTGTTCTGTGTGCTTGTGTAAATTTGTATTCGGGAGCACATAAAACATTTGAAACATAAGATTTAGAATCTCAATGCAATACAGCAAATAGGTGACAATTTAGATCTCTAAGGGGACAGGTATAGATGGAATTAAATCTGATCCATGGGGAGCTGCATTTATTGGAGATTAAAAGGATGGTGGAGAGGGGGAGAGGGAAAAGGAGAAGGGTCAGAAAAGAGAAGTATGGAATGAAGGAGGGAGAAAAGGAGAGAGGAAGAAAGGGAGAAAGGAGAGAGATCACAAGCCAGCAGGTAGTAAGGAAGAAGCAGAGAGGCTAAGGAAGGGAAGCAATTCTCAGCTGCACCTATTGCTGAGACTCATGGGATTTTAGCAAGGAGATATTTCTGATATCCATGTCAATAAGTGTAAAAGCCAGTTAACTTTAAAAGTCCTTCGGTATTAGCTAGGAGATGTTGGGTATCTCTAATTTGGGGTGATTTTCAAGGAGGATGCCATGAGTTTTCTCTTCTCAGCATAGACTTCCTTTGGAACTACAGGAGGCCATAGCTGGCTGAGGAATCACAGATTTCTTCTCATCCACCTCAGGAACTAACATGGGTTCAATGTTGTTTTTTGTGCACAGATGGGGCACGGCACAGAAAATGCTTTAATAAAGTGAGAGGCTACTGTAGGAAGAAGTGTGGAATGGGGGAAATATATGAAGTGTCTTGTCAAAATGGAAAACTGTGTTGTGTTAATGAAGGAAAAAACCAGAAATACCCGGAACCTCCAGAGCTACCTCAAGCTTCAGTACCAGTTGATCTGAAGATGGACTATATTGTTTTACCCACCATTACAGTTTTCACAATCCATCTATGAAGCAAGTGTTTGCTCACTGGTCCCCACTCTTCACAAATCAAGTGTCACCTAAGCAGAAGGTCAGGGCAAGAGATTTAACTACATCTTTCTGTAAACTTGTTTTTCGCTATAATAAAGTCCTATGATTTTCTCCAGATATATGTATTGATGCAGTCACTCACTTTTGAATACTGCAAATATAAATGCACAGTTATTATGTTGCAGACATTATACTAGTCAGACGGGTATTATAGAGATGCAGTGCACATGTTATAGGTGGAAAATGTGCCTTCACTTCAGCATTCAGGTATGATTTTTCTTAATGAGGTTTTTTTGTCTAAATAGATTTAAGTGTCCCAGCTTTGTATGTGAATACAGAGGGTTTTGTTAACAACTACAGATTCATTAGAAGAAGATAAGATAGTTGAACATTTCATAGCATCTACTGGGGCAGACCTAATGGGTGGGGAGGATTGCTGGTGATAATTCTAGTATATCATTTGAGACTCACTTAAGGTACATGCTCAATTCCCCCCCCCCTTTTTTTTTTGGTAACGATTTCAACATCCAGATGACACAATTTTTGACACATATTATGCTAAGGAGTGTTGAGGCATTGCATATTTACTGTGAAATTTACAAACTTTCAGCTATAAGATGAATAAAGTCTGATGTAAGACATGGTGATTGTAGTTGGCAAAACTGTACTACATAATTGAAATTTTGTAAGAAAGCAGAACTTAAAAATACAATGGTGATTTTGAACTCTGATAGAAAGATAAAATCTTCCATGCCTTTGTGGTTTGATTCTGGAAGGTTCTTCTCTCCTTGTGATGACATATTCCCTTGAGGTCTCAAGTGCCATGTGTCCACTTTTTCCATCTGCCCACTTGCTGCGTGTAATTTCCCTTTTTTTTTTTTTTTAAAGTGACTCTACCAGTAACTTAGAGAACTGCAGTACCTCATTCCTCCAGCAGATAGTGCTTGGATATTTTAAAGCTTTTCTCATCTCCTATATGATTTTAGATGTCCAGTCTTTCTGAACTTCTGTAGGTCTGAAGACCTGACCTTACAGTGGATAAATTAGGGGATGGGGGAGAGTCTGGAGGGGCCCAGACGCTAATGGGAGTGGAGGTGGAGGGCTGGTGTGTGTCTGTGTTACTCCTGATATCCCTTCTCTCTGGGGTTTAAAGTCCCTGTAGACTGCAATGTCAGTGAGTTCTACAAGGTCAGTACAGTCCCTTAAGGTGAGGGAAGAGGAGTATACAGCCTGGCTAACAGAATGGGGCTTCCTTAAAATATTAAAAATAGATCTGCCATATCATCCAGTAATCCCATTCCTAGGTTATCTACCTGAAGAATGTAAAAATACAAAATCAGGGCCCTTCCTGGTGATGCAATGGCTTGGGATGCAGCCCTGCAAGTTAGCCACAGCTACTTCAGTGCGAGTTTGATTCCCTGCCCGGGAGGTGACCCACATGGCGCAGCTGACCTCTTAGACGTCTCTTGTCTTCCCCGCTGCTCCCCTCAGCAGTGTACTTCCTTGATCTGCCCGCTCTGCTCCCCACTCTGTCTCTGATGAATCCCCTGCACCTCTGGCCTGTACCCCAGTTCTGTATGCATAAATAAATAAATCTTTTTCTAAAAAAAAGAATGTAAAAACACAAATCAAAGACCTATGCGCACACCTGTGTTCACTGTAGCTCTAGTTACAATAATCAAGTTATGGAAGTAACCTAGGTGCCCAAGGACAGATGAGTGGGTTAAGACGTAGTCCATGCACGCACACACATGCACACACTGGAGTACTACTATAAGAAATGACAAACTCTTGGCATTTGTAATAACATGAATGTAACTAGAGGGGGTTATGCTAGGTGAAATAAACCAGAAGGAAAAGACAAATACTGGATGGTTTCACTCATATGCAGAATAGAGAGAAACAAACAAAATCCAGACAAAAGGCAAACTGAAAGCAAACCTAGAAATTTGACTGGACACTGAGAGTGGAGAGCAAAAGTTGAAGGCTCCCCAGTGACTGTCGTGAAGGACTGAGGGTGCCGTGTGGTGGCTGTGGCGTGGTTGATACACATCCAAACAGGTGAAGCACATACAGTGTGCTCACATACAGTGTTGTAAACCAATGTTGTCTTAATGAAAAATCACAAATGAAAAATAAGCGTGTGAGGTGATAGATGGGCTAGTTAATTATGGCAGGCTTCGTCTTGCAATACATATATAGATTTTAAATCTTATCATAAATATTAAAATATGGAGGGATGAAAAGAGAGCGAGGAAGAACTGACTGTTGGGGGCTTAGGATTGGTAGCATTTCTTGTAATGGCACTCCTTTCCTGAAGTGGGTTTGAGTAGCTTGTTTCCTGTGACCCAGATACAACAAACTGTTTGTAGGGAAACTTCTCAAGCAAAGAGTTACAACTAGAAGGTTTGTTCTTTACTAATATATAATTGGTAAGACCAGGATAATGACAGGACAATTAAGATCACTTCAACAGCTGGGTTGAGTGATAACAGGCACACTGTAAACAAACCATCTTGTGATGCTGTTTCACTTGGGTGGTTTGCTCTGATCCACACATTAGGATGATATATGAAACCTGAATTTCATGATACAGGTTTATAGTGAGGAGACACTGCAATACACTCATCTTTTCCCACTTTTTGAGGGAAAAAAGAGATACTTTCTTTAGGTTACAATTCCCGAAAAACAACCACTCTGTTTTCAGGGTATTTTTCCAGCTTCAGGGAGCCACCTCAGTCCTAACACTCCATATTCCCAGGTGCAGAGAAGATACTGTCTCCTTTCCCTCTAAGAGAGGCCTAGAGGAGGGGGAAGAGTACATCGGGGTCTGAAGTGATAGCAAGGTCATTGGATTTTGGGAAGAGGGTGTAGATGACCTTTGGTCATTAGGAACGCTTTCAAAATGACTCCTGGATCCTGTTAATAAGTCCCATGCTGCTGAATTTTAAAGCATTTCCTTACCTCCTGACAGTATAAGATACTTCAGGCTCATCTTGTGTATGCCTTGTCCTAGTCCTAGAACAGGGTAACAGAATGCAAACCACAAGTTAGTGGTAGGTGTTAAAGTGTTGAAATGATGTGGAAAACAATGTTTGGCACCATCCTGAAGATACTAAAATATTAGAAAAATACTTAATTGGAAAAAATAAACCATGTAGTTGAAAAAGAAATGGTTCATGTTTAATGTCATGCATATCAAAGCAGCAACAAAACTTCACTTAATATGCAATCCAGACCAATTCAGAGGTTCTTTACATCATCTCCAGATTTCAAAGGACCCCAGTCTTTGAAGGGATATATTGTGGAAGGGATATATTATTAGTGGTAACACATAAAACAACAAAAGGAACAATGAAGCAACTAAAAACCTCTGTCTCAGAGTGACAAGTTCATGCAACTTCACCTTATATAATAAGCACCACAACAGTGGAATTCTGTTCTTCTCTATTTTCCCAACTCGCTGCTTTTACAAAGGAACTAAAGAGATTGACTTTCTCATGACTCAACTTGGAAGTGCTACTCTAAGCCAAAATATTTGTATCTTCTCCCCCAAAAGGCCTCTTTCCCAATTTTCTTTCATGGCTGATTTCATTAGGCTCACTCAGATGGCCTTTTCTAACACTCCCCTGGTGAAATCTTAGGCATTTCACCATGCAGCACTTTAGTCCTAAACACCCTCAGGAATATTCTCTGAATACTATGCTTCACTTTGTCTTCTCCTGAATCGCATCTCCTTTACTGAGTTTCTTGTTCCTTGTAGATTTTTTTATTGCTCTGGTTACATTTCCTTCTCAAGGGTCCTGAGTTGTCCTCATCAGTTTATTAACTGGCATGGTGAATGTTCAATTTCTGATGAAAGAACAAGTGAATCAGAATACTGGCAATGAGCTTTATTAGAATCTGCTTTAAGGTCATTCTGGGATGAAGGAACCAGCAGGGAGAAGATGTGAATCTCTTCACCTTAGTTTATTGAAACAGGTTGAAAAACAAGAACAAAAAATTGTACTTGACTTATGTAGAATTTGTCATGCTGTTTGACTTACTTTCCGTGTATATATACTCTTGAGGAAATGTGTATGCAAATGTCGGTGGCTTTGGAAGAGGCGGCTTCGTAATTTTTTTACGTTCTTCCAGTTCCAAGATATTGAGACAACAATATTTCCCATTTTCACATAGTACTCTACGTATTTCAGTTACTTTGCAAACTTTCCTGCAGTGTCCTTGTATGTATTCACCCCAGCATTTCTTAAGTTGTTCAGTTACTGTGCACACAAAAGAGCAATAAACCAAGGTCAGTGTTGCAAACTGAAAGGCAGCTTTGGTCAGGAGGCTGTGTGTAGGGCAATTGGTGTCCCAGAGGACATTCCTGTATATCCTGTGGAGGATTCTCCAAGAATCAATGCTTATGTCTAGCTGGTCACTCATATTTGTTCTAAGTTTTGGGTTTCTAGCATCTGATAGACTCTGTCAAGAACATCAGGTTTACTTTTGGAAAATGAAGGAGTTGGTACCTTTTTTTTCCAGGTTGGGAAACTATGCTCCATCTGGGTACCTCAGCAAACTTACCTCCAGCTGAACAACCCCAAAGCACCCCTTCTTTACTACCACCCCACCTCTAAGGGGCAGAGAGTAAGAATTTGTTTCTGTACATTAATGTGACTTCAGGCTTACTACCATGGTCGAAAACACTTTCTACTCTTCCAGTCAGGTGTTTTCCGTGAATTATTAGCATTGTACACCTTTTCTAATGCAGATCTTCCTGCATATGGGTAGGAGTAGAATAAAATAGGACCAGATGCCAGAGTAAAACTGTACCCAAAGAAAGCTGGAGCCTCCCTAGATATTGGGCTCATTCATTTCCACTGTGAGCCCTCCCCAGAGGGAATTATAACTGTCTTTACAGTAATGTGAGTCCTCCTTCCAAAGAACAGTACCGTGGCAAAAGGCCTCAGAGAGGGAATTTCTGATGATATTGGATGGCTGTCAGCCATCCCTAGGGCCCCAGCTCCTACTGTGAATCCTAAAATTCCTCTGGGTTCTTAGAAATACATCATCCTGTTGTTGGTTTGAATGAGCCCTGGAAAGCTTGGCATTACCTGTGGCCTTCTGGAGCAGCAGGATTGCAATGACCAAGAGTAGCTTCATGGCCAGAGAGGGGCAGCCAGTGATCTAGGTCCAGTGAATGGCACACTGTGCCACCTTCCTCAGAATCCTGGGCTCTTATGCACTGAACCAGAACAGAGAGCATGATGTGAAATATGCCCCTAGAAGTTCTGAGCTGTGGGTTTTGCCTCATGTGGGCAGGCACAGGAAATTTGAGGTTATCAAATTCAGAGATCAGCACATTCTACCCATTCATACCTGGTGGCAGAAGTAGGTTGTAGGCTGCTGGTGAGAAGAATCTGTGATCTCTCTGCTTTGGCTGTCTGCCCAGCTAGGCCAAGGAAGATATGAACTCCCTAATAAGAATGAATAAGGTCACCTATTCAATGACTGATGAAACTTTCTTTATTGACTGCATTCAGCTAAGCCTGGGATCTCTGGGTGTTGTGCCCATCACACAGTCAGTCCACATGGTAACAGTTTTCATCTCCACATCCTATATGAATTTAATTACTCACAGGTAAGCGGTATACACCAAGGGAGTAATCATAAGATGGCTGCAAGCAAAATTTAATTTAGAAACACCGAAAAAGGGAAAAAGGATTGAGATCACAGCATACCATGTCACCCAATGGACACTAGTAGCAGGGTTTCCGCCCTGCAAGTGTACAGACTTTATTCTTTCTGTTATGTTCTCTGGAAAAGCTTCCTTGGCTACTGAACTCAATAGGCACATCTTGGAAAAAGCCGGGGGAGAATTATTCTGGAGGCTTTGCTACTTTAGCAACACATTTTCTATTAAACGTAGGGTTAGAAAACTTTAAGAATCATTTTGTCACCCAGGCTTTGATATCTATGCCATGACAGCTCTTGAAGGAAAGTAGACTTTCATTTGAATCTCATTCAGTCATTTTCAGGTCTAAGACCAAAATAGAGGTCCTTTTTCAATCTCAGAGATTCAGTTTGTATCACAACTGGGGCACTGATCTCTATAAAATAAGCTTTTGGGTATTATAGCTTCTATTATAAGCAGTTCAGATCAGTAGCCTCTGGACAGTGTCGAGACTGATCACCATGAATATGTAGTTACATCACCATCTGCTTTTGTGGATGCCACTGTCAACACCTCCATCTAAATTCAGAGATATACACGACAAATTGTTGGTTAATCAGGTTAGGGTATACCTGAGCAACTGAGTGACTGAAAGGAGAGGAACAAAGTTTATTGACCTGGTTATTGACTAGAGAGTTATTGAAGTAAATCATGGACTCAAGACATATAAACAGGTCAGGGGACTGACAAATTGATCTTTGAATTTTGAAGTGAGAAGAGTTTATCAGCATATTGCTGGTGCAACAGACAGAGCTTTCTGTGTCTAACCTGCACTCTCTTCTTCACCTCCTCATTGATTAGAAAACCTTGATTAGAAAACAGTCATTTTCCTACAGATAATCTTGAGACTGCGTCCTCAGTGTGTGTGCTCGCCCGTGTGTGCCTGCCTGTGTCTTTTCTGCTCTCTGCTGCAGGCGAGTCTGTGCATCTGGGAAATCTAAATTGACCCCATAAAGAGTTGCCTTTTACCCCAGATTCTTGTAGGGCTAAACATTAGGTGTTCTCATGGGCAAGATAAGACGAATAAAAGAACATGATGTTTCTAAGTGAGGAAGAAATCATTAATCAGCAATTATTGTTAAATCTCAGAGTCTACTGTGACTTTTAAAAGTACAAATTGGTTTAATATGCTATCCATAAAAGGACATACTGTAATAAATTTCTGTATAATTCACCCACCAAATTTGATCAAGCTGAAAAGTTAGGAGAGCCAGTTGTTTATTTTAAATGGGTCACCCAGGAAAGTTGGGTTTATTTGAAAGATTTTTTGTTTTATTTTCCTATTTATGCAATTTAAAATAGTATTTAGAAGTAGTCTTATTGTATAGCATGTGCATTATTTACAAAAACCAGGAAATAGAAAGTCAAAGAGAAGAAAGGAAATAGCATTGCTACTATCTAAAGATAACCTCTGGAAACATGGCATATGCCGTTCTAAATTTCTTTCTTGAATAGAATTAATATAGCTTTATTGTTTAACCTAATTATTATCTTATGGTATCCCTGACCTATAGTAAAGATGTAGTAAAGCTGCCTCAAACATTCACCAAATTTCATGACTTTTGAAAGTTTAGGGTTCTTCAAACCTTGGCTAGTTCCAAGGTGTTTTTTTCCTAACAATTGAAAAATTAAGAAAGAAAATATGTCAGGCCCTCCCTGTGACACAACAGAATAAAGAAAGGATTTATCTTGAATTTTATATGGTTTCCATAGGTTCTTCAACATCTGATAGTAATGATTCAGACTTTATTAAAATCAAGATCCTCCTTTCAATACAGATAGCTTTGAACTGTGATCTTTATTTTATTTTTGCATGGAAAAATAAGCAGACATACAAATGCTTACTTGACACTAAGTATTAAATTATATAGTTCAGTACATCAGAGCACAACAGAGAATTTAAGTCCCCAAAGAAAATCCCTATATCTTCTATATACTTGTCTTTACATATTTCTTGTTGAAAGGCAAATATTTTGACTCTTGTTTTGGTATTATATACATCTTCACATCATTTAATTCCTAAGTAAATCATGGACTCAAGACATATAAACAGGTCAATGTCTCCTGTGATACAACATGAGGACTGGCTCCCTAGATGCTATTAACAATGATTATTGCTAGTGTTCCATATCCAGAAGAAATATTGTTACATGTACCATCATCACTCTCAAGAGAATTTGCCAAATCTTTGGAAAATTATAATATTTCAGGCAGAGCAGTCAGATTTGTCTCATACATGTCAACCGTTGTGCCAGTGGTGGTCTTGACTTTAGTGAAAGAATGTTTTCTCTTTTTTGTAATTACAACAGGTGGGGGCTTTCGAGTTTGCTCATCAGCTCCTATGGGAATGCAGCATGATAATTTGTTTATACAAAGAAGTTTGTATCTCTCATTATATAAACATCGTTGTCTGCAATGTCCTATATCATCCTTCCAGCATCGCCTGGTGATCCAGCCAGCTGCAGGGAATAAACAAATAGGCCAAGTTTTTTTAAACTCTAGCAACAACATGATAAACATGATAATGCAAAAACTTGACTAGTACTATTACTGCTTCTAGAGTAATGTGATGACAAATACTGCAAGCCATCAGGAAAGACAAAAAGAAAACTAAGTATACAATAAAAAAATGTGACATGTGGGCCCTCCCCTGTGACGCAGAGGTTGGGATGCAGCACTGCAAGCTGGCTGCCGACGTGTCAGTGCGAGTTCCATCCCCCACCCTGGAGGTGACCCACACGGGGGCAGACCTCTCCTGACCCGTCTGCTGCTCCCCTCAGCAGTGTACCTCATTGATCTGCCTGTTCTGCTCCCCGCTCTGTCTCTGGTGAAGCCTCTCACGGCCCATGCACCTCTGGTCTGTACCCAGTTCTGTATGCATAAGTAAATAAATCTTTGTAAAAAAAATGAGACATGTGCCATCAAGAACAGAGAGAAAGGAAGAGGGAGGGAGGGTGGAAAGGAAACACAGAGAGAGACTATTAAGACTGTTTTTTCTTTTTAAAGATTTATTTATTATTTATGCATACAAAACTGGGGTACAGGCCAGAGGTGCAGGGGTGGTAAGAACATTCACCAGAAAGAGTGGGGAGCAGAAGAGGCAGATTGATGAAGTACACCACTGAGGTGAGCAGTGGGTAAGACAGGGGAGGTCTGCTGCATCATGCGGGTCAGCTTCCTGGCGGGTATTGAACTCTTGCTGAAGCAGCTGTGGTAGCTTCATAGTGTTAATGCTTTAACCCATTGCACCTCCAGGGAGGGCCCTATTAAGACTATTTTTCAAAGTATATTTTCCTCCAGGTATCCACTCATGAAATCTGAGACCGCTAGCCTTTTTTCCTCCCTACCCCAAACTCTTTAAATCATCTTGCGCATCCATTCTTCAACACTGTTTTTCACATGACTTACTACTCCTTTTTAACAGTTCACTCCAAGGTTAAAATTTAGGCTGTACCACTTCATCCAGCAAAGCCCGGCATACCTAACTTGGTATAAACTCTACAGCATGTTCTTGAGATACATTTATGAACTAAGCAGGCAAAAATCACACGAAGTTTGCTTTTTTACCAGGAGAAGACTAAGAAAAACAACCACAAAAAGCTAGTTAAAAAAAGCTTTTTCTTGAATGCTTAAAACCTGTCGTAGATTATCTAATTAAAAAAATCTAAGTGCTGTGGCTCCCAGGAGTTCTGCTTTGTGACTGAGCACAGTTCACACATTCTCGAGAAAAAAGGCAAAATATCTTGTTTGTGAGAAGACAGTAAGTAGTTTGCAGAAATATGAGAGAAGATATTTAAGCCAAATCTATTTGGTGTGTCATGGGAGTAGATTGCAGTTTCTTAAACAACAGTCAGAGGTCTGGAGAGAAGGTGACAATTAAACAATGACTATGGGAGGTGAAGAAATAGCCACATTAGCATCTGGGCACATGCATTCTAAGTAGAGAAAACAAAGGGAACTCTGTGCGTTGGGCAAGCCTGGCACCTTTGAGACCAGTTGGCTCTAGCGAAGGAGCAAAGGCTGGAGCAGAAAGAGATGGGTGCGAGAAACCGTAGAGCAAGACCCTGGCGGGTCCCAGGAGCCACTGCAAGGACCCTGCTTATTCTGCCATGTGAAGCGAGGGGCCACTGCAGTGCTCTGGGCGGAAGAAAGTACATCGTCTGATTTCCAGGGTGGGTGGGTCATGCTCTAGTCTATCTTGACAGTCAACTGCAGCAAGCAGAGACAGAACAATAGAGACCGGAGAACCTGTAACAGCTGAAGGGCCACCATGACTTGAATGAGAATGGCAGCAGGGAGGTGGTGAGAATGGATGATTGTGGATATAACTTGCATCTGAGTGCAATAGATTTCCCAATAGGTATGGATAGCAAAGCTTAAAATAGCAAAGGTATTTCCAAGACTTTGGTGTAATCCCAGTAGCAATTGA